CCCAAAAAAAAGGGGGGGGAAAAATTTCCCCCCTTTTTTCCCCCGGGGTTTCCTGGGGGGCCCCCCCCCCGGGTTTTAACCCCGCCCCCCAAAACAAAAAAAAAAATTTTTTTAAAATTTTTTTTGGGGGCCCCCCCCAAAACCATGAAAAACCCGGGGGGGGGGGCCCCCAAATTCCCCCAAAAATTTTTTTTGGGGGAAAAAAAAAACCTTTAAAAAATTTTGAATTTAAAAAAAGCCGGCCCAATTTTTTTTCCAAAACCCCCAACCAGGGGGGCCCCCCCCCCAAACCCCCCCTTTTTTTCCCCCCCCCCCCGGGTTTGGCCCTCCCGGGGCCCCCTCAAAAATTTCCCCCCCCCTTTCCCCGGAAACCCCTTCCCCCCCAAAAACCCCCCCGGGGGGGGGGCCCCCCAAACCCTTTTGGCCCCCCTTTTTCCCCTTTCCCTTTTAAAAACCCCCTTTTTTTTTCCCCAAAAAAAAAAAAAAATTTTTAAAAAAAAAAAACAAAAAAGGGGGGGAAAACAATTTTGGGGGGAAAAAAAAAAAAAGGGGGGGGAAAATTTGGGGGGGGGAAAAAAAACCAAAAAAATTTTCTTTTTTAAAAATTTGGGACCTAAAAAAAAGGGGGGTTTAAGGGAAGGGGGGGTTTTTTTTTGGGTTTGAAAGGTTTTAAAGGGTGGGGGAAAAAGGGGGGGGGGGCAAAAAAAATTTTGGGGGAAAAAATTTTGGGGGGGGGAAAAAAAAAATTAGGGGAAAAAAGGGGGGGGGAAAAAAAAATTTTTTTTGGGGGGGGGGAAAAAAAAGGGGGGAAAATGAAAAGGGAAAAAGGGGGTTTTAAAAAAAAATTTTTTTTTAAAATTTTGGGGGGAAAGGGGGGTTTTAAAAAATTTTCCCAAAAAAAATTTTTTTTTGGGCCCCCCCTTTCCCCAAGGGGGGTTTTTTTTTAAAAAAAAGGGGGGGGGGCCCCCCCCCGGGGGGGGGCCCCCGGGGGGGAAAAACCCTTTTTAACCTTTGGCCAAAATTTTTTTTAGGGGGTTTTTTTTTTTTTTCCCCCCAAAAAAAAAAACCGGAATTTTTTTGGTTAAAAAACCAAAAAATTTTTTGGGGGGGGGGGGAAAAGGGGGGGGGCCCGGGCCCCCCCCTTTGGGGCCCCCCCCGGGGGGTTTTTTTCCCCCCCCCGGGGGAAAAAACCCCCCTAAAAAAAATTTTTTTTTGGGCGGGTTTGCCGGGGGGGGTTTTTTTTTTGGGGGGGGTTTTTTTTTGGGGGGGCCCCCGCCCCCCCTTTTTTTGGTTTAACCCCGGCCCCGGGGGGTTTTTGGGGGGCCCCAACCTTTTCCCGGGGGTTTTTTTTTTTGGTGGGTTTTTTTTGGGTTTTGGGGTTTATAAAAAACCCCCCCCTTTTCCCCGGGAATTCCAGGTTTGGGCCCCCAAACCCCCCCCAAAAAAAAATTTTTTTTTTTTGGCCCCGTAAAACCTTTTTTTTGGGGAACCCCCCCTTTTGAAAGGGCAGTTTTTTTTTCCCCCAAAAAAAAGGGGGGGTTTTTTTGGGGGCCCCCCTTTTTTTTTTTTTTTTTTTTTAAAGGGGAAAAATTTTTTTGGGGACCCCCCAAAAACCCCCCAGGTTTTTTTTTTTTCCCTTTTTTGTGGCCAGAATTTTTTTTTAAATCTTATGAAATTTTAAAAAAACCCCTTTTTAAAAAGGGGAATTGAAATTTCTCCTCCTTTAAAATTTTTTTTTTCTGCCCCCCAAAAAATTTTTTTTTTGGGGGGGCCCAAAAAAAAACCCCGGTTTTTTTTTTGGGGGAAAAAAAATTTTCCCCCTTTTTAGGGGGGAAAAAAAGGGGGGCGAGTACGTCCTTTTAAAATTTTTTTCCGTAGCTTCCCGGGTTTTTTTTTTTTTTTTTAGTGAGGAAATTATAGATCCCCCCCTTTTCCTTTTTTTTGGTTTTTTTTTTTTCTTTTCCCCTTTTTTTTGGGGGCCCTTTTTTTTTAAAAAATGATTTTTTTTTCCCCCCTTTTTTTTTAAAATTTTTTTTTTGGAAAAGGGAAAGGGAAAAAATTTTTCCCAAAAAAGGGGGGGTTTTAAGGGGGGGGTTTTTTGTTTTGGGAACCCCCCCAAAAAGGGTTTTTTTTTTAAATTTTTTTCCTTTTTTTTCCCCCCTTTTTTTTTAAACCCCCTTTTTTTTGGAGGGGGGCCCCTTTTTTTTTTTTAAAAAAAGGGGGGGGGGCCCCCCCCCTTAAATTTTAAAAAAATTCCTTTTTTGGTGGGGAACCCCGGGGTTTTTTCCCCGGGCAACATTTGGGGGGAAAAACCCGGTTTTTTTTTTTTTCCCCAAAAAATTTTTTTTAAAAAAAAAAAATTTTTTTTTTTTAAAAATTTTTTGGTTTTTGGGTTTTTAAAAACCGGTTTTTTTAAAACCCCTTTTTTTGGGGGGCCCTTTGGGGCCTTTTTTTTTTGGGTTTTTGGGGGGTTTTTTTTTTTTTTAAAAAAATTTTTTTTTTCCCCCCCTTTTTTTTTTTTTTTCCCTTTTTTTCCCCCCCCCCCTTTTTTTTTTTCCCCCCCTTTTTTTTTTTTTCCCCCCCCCCCTTTTTTTTTTTCCCCCCCCCCCCCCTTTTTTTTTTTCCCCTTAAAAAAACCCCCCCCCCCAACCCTCAACCCCCCCCTTTTTTTTTTTTTTGGGGGGGGGGGTTTTTTTTTCCAGGGGTTTTTTTTTTTCTTTTTTTTTTTTTTTTTTTTTAAAAAATTTTTTTGGGGAAATTTTTTTTCCCAATTTTTTTTTTTTTTTTGATTTAATTTTTTTTGGGGTTTTTTTTTTTGGGGGCCCCCCCGAAATTTTTTTTTAAAAAAAGGGTTTTTTTTGGGTTTTTAAGGGGAAATTTGGGGGGGGGGGGGGGTGGCCCCCCCCTTTTTTTTTTGGGGGGGGGCCCCCCCGGGGGCCCCCCCCGGCCCACTGGGGGGGCCCCCCCCCCCCCGGGGGGGGGAAAAAACCCCCCCCCCGGAAAAGGGGGTTTAATTTTTGGCCCCGGGGTTTTTTCCCCTTTTTTTTTGGTGGAAAATTTTTTTCCCCGGGAATTATTTTGTTTTAAAGGGGGGAAAACCCCCGTTTTCCCGGGGGGCAGGGGGGGGGGGGGGGGGGGGGGGGGGGGGGGGGGGGGGTGGGGGGGGGGGGGTGGGGTTGGGGGGGGGGGGGGGTTTTGGGGGGGGGGGGGGGGGGTTTTTTAAAAGGGGGGGGGGGGGGGGGGGGGGGGGGGAAAAGGGGGTTTTTGGGGGGGGGGGGGGGGGGGGGGGGGGGGGGGGGTGGGGGGGGGGGGGGGGGGGGGGGGGGGGGGGGGGGGGGGGGGGGGGTTTTTTTTGGGGGGGGGGGGGGGGGGGGGGGGGGGGGGGGGGGGGGGGGGGGGGGGGGGGGGGAAAAAAAGGGGGGGGGGGGGGGGATTTTTTGGGGGGGGGGGGGGGGGTTTTTGGGGGGGGGGGGGGGGGTTTTTGGGGGGGGGGGGGGGGGGGGGGGGTTTTTGGGGGGGGGGGTTTTTTTAAAAAAAAAAAAGGGGGGGGGGGGGGGGGGGGGGGGGTTTTTTTTGGGGGGGGGGGAATGGGGGGGGGGTTTTGGGGGGGGGGGGAAAATTTTTTTTTGGGGGGGGGGGTTTTTGGGGGGGGGGGGGGGGTTTTTGGGGGGGGGGGGGGGGGGGGGGGGGGGGGGGCCCGGGGGGGGTTTTTTTTGGGGGGGGGGGGGGGGGGGGGGGTTGGGGGGGGGGGGGGGGGGGGGGTCTCCTTTTGCGCCCGTGAAATTTCTCTGTACTTTTCTAGGTCGGCAATTTACCTGCCTTAAAAGGTGCTGTTAGTGTCCCAGCAATATTCCAGCCTAGATAGAACAAGTGACCTGAAGAGTGTCATCATAGTAGGCTCTATTATTTGCTGGATTAAATTGAATTTTGTGCAGAGATTTAAAAGCTCGTGTGAGTGTGAGTTTTCATCAGAGTTGCCTCCTGGTGTTATTACTGCAACAATATTATTTGCTATATTCCTCCATTTTAGGTGCCTTAAGTTGAAATCCCCCAGGAGCAAGATGTTGGGTGCAGGAGCTGGAAGATATAGATATAGTAGTGTACTTATTTGTACCAATCAAATTATGAAATGTAAACACACATTGTAACCTTTGCAAAGAAATAAGCTTATTTTTGTAGTCTGCAGGCTCAGAGCCTTCCAGTGAATATAATTATATATGTGGAAAATAATGTATTTTCCAGAAAAAATACAGTGTATATTTTATGTAAATTAGTGTAACATACTGTATTTAATAAAAATTTGTCATAAAAAATGGGAAGCCTGTGCCTGCGCAGAAGAGACTCGCCATTGTTGTTTGAATTGGACACAAACGTTAGTGAATAATGGGAAGAATTTTTCGTGCTCTAGAGGTAAAAATTGGGCTGACACCTCTCAAATAGGAGGCGAAATTGTTGGATGTGCATTCCTGAATAATTTGAGATATCAGGCGAAAGGACAAGACTCTAATTAGACGGAAACAGGATATTACTCCAGCTAAGTGTCTTATTTTATGTTAGATTCTGGCCAGTTTCTTCATAAATTTTAGACAGGAGTTAGATATTTTTATTATTATTATTAAAGATTCGCCGGTATTCTCCCGGCCCGGGCCTTTTCCAAGTGGTGGCCCGGCCTTGGCTCCCTCTAGGGAGTGTCTGAGACCTAAGTCTCCCATGGGAGGAGGCACAAGTACCTCCTCATCTTTGGGACCAACTGTCCCCAGGCCTAGCCACAAGCTAGGCCTCTCTGGTCTGTCATCCCCGCCACAAGGGGGCTAATGGGAATGACAGTCCAGTGAGCTGTAAGCTCAGGCTCAGGCACCTACCCTACCCTAGAAGGGTTAGGCATGGTGTCGATGTGAGTTAGATATGATACAACTTAATCTCCAGTCAAATTGGTGAGTGATTTTAAGATATTCTCCTTCTGTTATGTAAATTTGTATATATATAATCCTTTATTAATTTAATATACAGTCCACAAATTACATATTTACCAGAATTCCTGGTGATACATATTTCATTTGTAATTAATAGGTCTAGAGCAACTTGTGGATATGACAGTTGTAGGTATCGAAGGGGGACATTTTTGTGACCTAGGTGTCCCAAATTCTTACTTGTCAATGTAACTTTGATAAATAATAATTATCTTTGTTATCATTTACTGTTATGTACATAATGAGTTACATTCAGATAAATGCAATTTTCCACAATATATATAAACAGCTACAGCGAGGATCCCGAGTTTTCCCTTAAGTACGTTTACGTATTCTCTTCTCTGGAATTAAATTTTGTTTACCCTCACTCCACAGATACAGTTAAAGGAACTTTATACAGACAAATATAATGGCAAACTAAAATTCTATTTTGACAAAAGAATACAGACCAAGTGGACAAAGAATTTATAGATTTTCTCAATACAATATGACACTTTATAAACAAAGTAAATGCTAAGACATCCTGAAACCTCAGCCATCATTTAAATACTACCATATTACAATACTTTTCATGCAAAATTAACATAGCTCACATTCGTATCTTACTGAAATTCAACATAGTGCCTGAGATGAAATGGGAAGGAATTAGGCTTAAAGGGAAGGACAAGTAAAGTTTCTTGGGCCAAGAGCTCCTCGCCAGCATCCAGGATCCTCCTTTGGGGGTAAACAATAATTTAAAATTATATGAAATATTGTACTTTTCAAGGGGGGTCTTGATGCTTGTTGAAGGTTCTTGATCTAAGGAATGGGTGTAACCCTTGATTCAAACTTCATTACTCTTGTTTTAGCTCATCCTCGTGATTGTAATAAAATATAAAAAATCAACAAAGCCAACTTTAACTTGGAAAAATAAACTTAATCTTAATAGTTCACACAACTACTGTAATTCTCAAAGCTTTCCCTTGTAATACATCACAACTTGTATTGCTACGCTTGTCTAATTTCTTCCTTAAGTCATAGCCCTCAAGGGAAGTTCCTTGACGCTGGTGAGGAGCTCCTGATCTAGGGAATTGGATCTATGCTCCAGTTTCCTGAATTGAGCCTGAATACCTTCCATCCCTCCCCCCCACAGGCGATGTATAATCCCTGCGGGTTTAGCGCTCCCCATAACAGTGATCCTTTATTCATAAATCTAAAGTTTATTTTAATATCTAACGAGCTATCAAGCAAATATAAAATCATCCCTTCACAATATTAAGAATATTGACCATTTATTGTGCTGACAGATGAGCAGCGGGTGTGTTACAAGTGCAGAACCAAGGAGAGGTGTCTGGGGTCTAGCAAAGTCCTCCTTGGAGAAGTGTAGCCCAGATGTTTTGGACGCACGTGCCATAGGTTCAACTCCACCCATTGTGATAAATATGTATACAAGAGCCTAGAAATCATCATGGTTAAATAAATACATGTCGTAGCTTCGATACTGACCATCTTAAACTTTTAGGACGTCTACGTCGTTTTTCGACCTTCACTCGAAAGTTTTTGGGTTCTTCATCAATTTTAAGTGACTCCTGAGTACTCCCACTTTGCTTCATAGGATAACAATCCCACAAGTTGAGTTTTGGGATTTTCCGAGGTTGCTTTTTTCGTTCTGGTACGACGAAATTTCCAAGGCGAGTTTCCCGGCCATAGATGTAGTTAGTTTCCCTAATGATACGGTACTCATCCACACCGCCATATTGCATCGATGACACATATGAGAGTTTCTTCTTGCATCTTGACCAGTGTCTTCCTAACATCTCTGGACATGAAGATAGGTACCCACACCAGGGACAACGACACTCCAAGTCTGAAATATCCAAAAATATTAAATTTCAGTATTTTTTTTTTCTGTCCTTATGATTACTTCCCATTCCTGACTGATGTTGTAGTGGCCAGGCTTAGGCTTGGTTACAAGTACTTTTGGCAGTTTGGGAGACACAGATGATGATCAAAATGCAAATGATGTGGTCAGGCATATGAACACTATGTGCTTAATTGTCCACTTATTGAGGAATACAGATAGACAATTAATAACCTATGTGACATGTCAAGATATCTTATTAATGAAAATAAGATACCAGATATTCTAAGCAAATTTCCTAAATTTGCTTGTAACAGATAAGTGAACTATAGATATGTAGATATAAATCCATATGTATTCCTGTTAACCCTTTGGGACCTAGTTCCTGGGCCTTTTGTGTATCCATATGCTCTCGCGCTACCGTCCACAGGATGGACATGACCGGCACAATAAACTAGCCACTTCGGTGGCAAAATCTAATCATTCACTTCTCGGCGTATGTATACAGATATCCACTTCTCGGTGTACACAGTGAAATATCCACTTCTCAGTGTATATACAGAAGGATATCCGTTTCTGTATATATACACTGAGATAATCCACTTCTCACTATATAGAGATATTCACTTTGTGTATATACACATATCCACTTCTTAGTGTATATATAGATATCCACTTCTCAGTGTATATACACAGAGATAATAACCATATCTGGGAGTATATACAATCCTCACAGTAATAATAATAATAAAAAAATATCTTTATTTACTAAATGTACAAGGTATACAGACCATAGCTGACATCAGTGACATACTACTATATAGAAAGTCCCTTGTTATGGTGAGCATTTCCCGCAAATTAGGTCAATTTTGTCCCAGGATGCGACCCACACCAGTCCGTTAACACCCAGGTACCTATTATACTGATGGATGATTATTATTATAATCAAGGGGGAAGCGCTAAACCCGGAGGATTATACAGCGCCTGGGGAGGATGTGGAAGGCATTCAGGCTTAATTCGGGGAACTGGAGCACAGATCCAATTCCCTAAATCAAGAGTCCCTCACCAACATCAAGGTTACTGATGGATGAACATAGACAACCAGTGTAAGGAAATACGTCCTATGTATTACCATCACTAATCAAATAAAAACGACCATATCCTTACCCCTCACTTCTTCTTCACTACGATGTCTCTCCTTCACCCATTTTGACGCATCCATATTATAAAAGAGATTTAAATATACGTAAAATATAGGAGAAGTAAGGAGAGCGTCGAGGCTGACCTCCACCTTCTTCCTTCACTCAACATTTGTGACGGAAAAAATTATGCATTTTTGTGTTTTATTGAAAAAAATATTTATTGTTGCAGGTATTTTCAGAAACTTTTGTCTTAATTATATTTAAGAAGCTCGTAATGGGTGATAAAGAACTAAAATTTTAATAAGGCATATTTTGATTTTTTTGTCTTATCGTGAAATGTAGTTTTATTTATTTATTTATTTATTTATTTATTTATTTATTTATTTATTTATTTGAACATGATACAGAGACGTGCAAAGGAATACAGTTATTAGAGTGTTATTAAAGTTAAATTTTTCATTCTGAATTAAACTTTATTAATAATTTATGATGTATATCAAAATAAACATATTTTAGTCAGTAAACTATTATTCCTATTTTCAGTATAAATGAGGAATAGCGATATAAAATATACCAGATAACGGGAATCGACCTTCTAGAAAATTCAACTATCCTAGTACCACTATGTCTCTTTATTAAGGAAAACCTCGTGCTGTGAAGGGCTTTTGATTCAAGGAACTGGAGCTATCCTTTCCTTCCTGGCGTAAAACCCGATTACTTCCCATTTCCCAGGCGTTCTATGACCCTTACGGGTTTAGAACTTCCCCAAGAATATAATGATTTTAATAGACTAGTCTGATATCTAAGTAAGATTAATGTTGCTTTTTCTGTGATTCCCTGACGTGCTAGCTGTAAATAAAGCATTACCACATGTGTGCATGTGTGGTGTGTGTGTGTTGTGGTGTGTGTGTGTGTGTGTGTGTGTGGTGTGTGTGTGTGTGAGTATGAGTGTGTTGTGTTGAGTGTGAGTGTGTTTATGAGTGTGGTGTGTAGGAGTGGTGTGCGTGGTGTGTATGAGTTTGTGTGTGTGTGTGTGTGTGTGTGTTTATGTGTGTGGTGTGTATGATTTGTATGGGGTGTGTGTGTGTGTGTTGTGTGTGTTGAGAGAGAGAGAGACTCACAATCAACTTTTGCACCAATAAACTCACTACAGTTGTGACCGGGTGTGGAAGTGTGTATGCTCTTTACTCTAAAAATTTTTTCCATGATTGCAGCAATGTATAAACGAAAGTAACCAATTCTTACAGTATTCATTACCTTTGTAACTTTGTGAGTTCATTACCATTGTAACGTGTGAGTTCATTACCTTGTACTAGTTTCAGCCAACAATACTTTGGGCCCGGTCCTGGACCCCATTGTGTTACCTCTGTAATCTGTAAAACCTTTGTAACTTGTAATGATTGTGACTAGACCTACCTGGAGTTCATTACCTTTGTAAATTGTGAGTTCATTACCTTTGTAAATTGTGAGTTCATTGCCTCTGTAGCTTGCTCAGCTATCAAAACTTTGAGGCCCAGTCCCTGGACCCATTATGTACCTCTGTAATCTTTTGACTACCGCCCACAGGATGGGTATGGGGTGCATAATAAACATATTAAACTAACTAAACTTCTGTGATTCCAGTGGTGAGGGCTCTTGATCCAAGGAAATGGACTTATTCTTCCCTTCCATTTATCAAGTTAATTGCCTGCCATTCCTCAGGCGCTGTGACCCCTACTTGTTTAGCTCTTCCACTGGTTAAAATAAAACATTAATATTCAGCTAGTTAAATATATTCTGTGAAACCTCAAAACCATGTTAGGCTCCACAGGAGCTCACTGACACACATGTTAGGATAGCTGTGGACTTGGGCCCTCGCTAAGATAGCTGTGGAATTAGGTCCACGCTCGGACAGCCGTAGATTTGGGTCCACGCTCGAACACCTGTGGTCTTGGGTCCACGATCGGACAGCTGTGGACTTTGGGTCCACCTCGGAAACCTGGTGGATTGGGTCCAACGCTCGGACAGCCTGTGGATTTGGTGTCCCACGCCTCGGACAGCCTGTGGACTTCTGTCCACGACCGAACAGCTATGGACTTGCGCCCTTGCTAGGATAGCTTTGAACTTGCGCCCTCGCTAGAATAGCTTTGGACTTGCGCCCTCGCTAGGATAGCTTTGGACTTGCGCCCTCGCTAGGATGGCTTTGGACTTGTGCCCTCGCTAGGAATGCTGTGGACTTAGGTCCACGCTCGGACAGCCGTGGATTTGGGTCCACGCTCGGACAGCTGTGGACTTGGGTCCACGCTCGGACAGCTGTGGACTTGGGTCCACGCTCGAACAGTTGGAGGGTGGACCCTAGTCCACAGGTTTTGGAGGGTGGATCCTAATCCACTGGTGTTGGAGGATGGACCTTAGTCCACTGGTGTTGGAGGGTGGATCATAGTCCACTGGTGTTGCAGGGTGGATACTAGTCCATTTTTTTTGGAGGGTGGATCCTAGTCCCCTTATGTTGGAGGGTGGACCCTAGTCCACAGGTTTTGGAGGGTGCATCATAGTCCACTGGTGTTGGAGGGTGGACCTTAGTCCACTGGTGTTGGAGGGTGGACCCTAGTCCACTGGTGTTGGAGGGTGCATCCTAGTCCACTGATGTTGGAGGGTGGACCCTAGTCCACTTATTTTGGTGGATGGACCCTAGTCTACAGGTGTTGGAGGGTGGGCCCTAGTCCACTGGTGTTGGAGGATGGACCCTAGTCCACTGGTTTTGGGGAGTTTATCCTAGTTCCCTTGTGGAGAATGGACCCTAGTCCACTGGTTATGGAGGGTAGATCATAGTCCACTGGTGTTGAAGTGTGGATCCTAGTCCACTGATGTAGGGTGGACCCTAGTCCACTGGTATTGGAGGGTGGAACCTAGTCCACTGGGGTTGGAGGGTGGATCCTAGTCCACTTGTTTTGGAGGATGGATCCTAGTCCACTGGTGTTGGAGGGTGGACCCTAGTCCCCTTATGTTGGAGGGTGGACCCTAGTCCACAGATTTTGGAGGGTGGATCCTAGTCCATTGCTGTTGGAGGGTGGACCCTTGTCCACTGGTGTTGGAGGGTGGGTCCGAGTCCACTGGTGTTGGAGGGTGGATCCTAGTCAACTGGTGTTGAAGTGTAAGCACTAACAGGAATCAGTGGAGACTGAATACTGCCGTGTTCTGTTATTTACCTAAGAATGGGCCTAGTGTTAGCCATAAACCTTGAGTCCACTGTGTTGGAGTGTGACCACTTTTAGCTCCCTTGAGCTTTCTCAGAGTGAACACTGCTCAGCTCACTTGAGCTTTCTCAGAGTGAACGCCGCTCAGCTCACTTGAGCTTTCTGAGTGAACATCGCTCAGCTCACTTGAGCTTTCTCAGAGTGAACACCGCTCGGCTCCCTTGAGCTTTCTCAGTGAACACCGCTGAGCTCACTTGAGCTTTCTCAGTGAACACTGCTCAGCTCCCTTGAGCTTTCTCAGAGTGAATACCGCTCAGCTCCCTTGAGCTTTCTCAGAGTGAACACTGCTCAGCTCCCTTGAGCTTTCTCAGAGTGAACACCGCTCAGCTCCCTTGACTTTTCAAAGTGAACACCGCTCGGCTCCCTCGAGCCTTTTTTCAGAGTGAACACTGCTCAACTTCCTTGAGCTTTTTTAAAGAGGGAATACCACTCCTGTCATCAGTCTAGAGACTAAATGCCATGGACTTGTCCGTACTCCTATATATATGGGGGACTTTGCGATATTACGAACTGTTTCAGTAATATTGCCACTGTGTACCCTTATATATATTTCCATTTATACATGGAAAGGACTGTCTGTAATTAACTGGACTGTGTGCTGTAATGTTGCTTTGTGTCCCCAGATATCACTGGCAAGCCTTCCCAGCATTTTATGCTTCAGAGTTTTCGTTGTATCGACGTTGCCTAAACATCATATTTGGTAATGTCCAAATTGTGATGTTATGCAACATTGTTAGAGCGGTAAGTTATGTGTGTTTGCTGGTTCCCACCTTATCCTTCCCCCTACCCAACTCTCTCTCGCGCCGCTCCCTACGAGAGCTGGCCTGCCGCACATCACCAATCATCCTCTTGTCCCGGCAGTTGGTGAGCGATTTCTGGTGGTAGCCTAGCTGCCACTGGTTATCGCCAAAGTAAATCTTCGTGCATGGTTTAGTGTTCCATGTAAACAAAGGTTCACTATGAAACCTTTGGACGATAACCGTGGTCCGGCTCTGAAATCGCAAGACTTCATCGTGTAAGCCGGTGTAACTGGAGCTGCATTATCTCTTAAAATAAGGTGAATTAGGAACATGTACAACATCTGGTATCTTTATTGTAATAAATGTTTTTCGCCAGCCCGTGCTTTGTCAGTACAATACAAGGCCCATAATGTGAAGATGTATAAATATATGCAAAAGATGAGATAATCAAGTACCTCAACCTGGAGGTTGGAAGATCACCGTAGTCTTCAAGACTACGGTGCTGTTTCATTACAAGGCTGAGGGACTGATTTACCTCTTTGTTAAACGTTTTTGCACTCTTCCTTGTACTGATAAAGCACTGGTTGGCGAAACCGTCTATTAATATGGCCAGATGTTGCACATGTCTAATTCATCTTGAAGATATGTATACCATTCATATACATCTGTTAAAGCAGTAAACCGATCTGATATCCTTTTTTAATTTGTTGCCTGATAAATGCCACTTCAAGGCTACCATGCGATTCATTTCTTTCGGGAAAAAAAAAAACACTGAAATAAAACCTCAGAATTCTTAGTGATGCGTTTTTATTAACCTGGATAAACTTGATGGGCATTAAATAAAACTGAATACATAGCATTCACTTGGTTTGGGTCAGCACCAGGAGTTTGCTCCCTCCAGGACTAGCAACAACTCTTGCTTGCCGGGGGATAGTAGAGCTCTTGATTCGAAGGAATTGGACGGCGCTGAGTGACCCTTAGATGTTTTAGCGCTTAATGCTCCTTGTAAGAGTTTAACCTACCCTTGTGCTGTAAGCCGCTACGGATTTAGCGCGCCCCATGATTGTAAAGTCCCCTGGACATAATTCCTAAAGCGCACTTTGACCCCTATGGGTTAAGCGTTCAAAAAATTAAAGCTACAAATTACCTTAGCAGTGTCTTGCAAATAAGGGGCTCTTG